AAAAAAAAAAAAAAAAAAAAAACGGAGAAGATTCGTTGTTTTCTCCAGGAAATCTAGACTCCGAGTTTAAATATCCCTGGCACGTCTCCTAAAGTGGACGCCGTCGAGAATCGCGTCGACGTGCAGACCATTTCCCGTAAATTCGACTAATCGTGTTATTCGACTTCATCTTGGTATACGTGTCCAACGTCGACAGTAAGCAGCGTTAAGTGTAACGAGAACCGTGGCGTGACGTAAGAAAGGAAGAAATAAACGAACAGCCAACGAGGTGGAAGGGAAAATGGGTGGGTGGAGGCGCGAATGACGAAGAAACGAACGGACTGGAGGGATAGAGGAGGGAGGAAGAAAAAGAAAGGAAAAAGGAACGAAGCAAGGAGGTGGTGGTCTCGGTCTCGTAGTAGTCGCGAGAGTCGTGGTAATAAATAGGCAACACGAGCGCTTATAAGGGGTAGGTAATCTAAAGCTTTCGAGGTGGCGGGGAACGGCGAGAGAAAGCGAGCAGGAAGATGGAAGTTGCGGAGGGAGGAAGAGAGGGTGCAGGAACGGTGTGCAGGATGAGAGAAGAACCGGCTGGAGGAGGAGACCACGGAGGAAGGGGGATAAGGGTGGTTACGGTGAGGGTGTGAGATAAGGTATAAGGTGGGTAAGATGGCGGACAATTTGCCGCTCGACTACTCTTGCCCGCACCCCTCCCTCGACGATTCCACTCCTCCCCCTCTGGCTCATGTACCGGGTAATAGATGTTCCTCCTTCGTAACCAACAGAGAAACGTTGAACGCGCGCGCAAGCATCCTTCCCTTCCTTCACCCCTTGCCTCGTTCTCTCGTCCTCTCTTTTACTCTCTCTCTCTCTCTCTCTCGTTCCTCTCAAGCTACGTTTCCTCTTTCCGTATGCGGAAAGACCCTTCTCGCAGCTTTTCCATCCCTTTCGTATTCAACGCGTGCTGGGTGGAAGAGCGCATGGACGTATATACGCGACGATGAGAGGAGAATCACGCGTGCAGGCGAACAGAGGCACGTACACGCCGGGAAGTTGCGGCCGCGTTCGCATATACACGGGGAACTGGCTCCGCGGTATTCACGTTGGTGGTACGTAGGTATTTTAAACGCTCTCCACACC